CATATACTTTATTAAATTTATTATAATTTGTTACAAGTAACGATTACAATGTATTCAAATCTATATATAAACCTTAGGACTAATTTATCTACGAAGTATTCTTGACCTAATTTATACTACCCTATTATAGTTTTCTGATTAGGGTTTATGCTACGACTATTATTATTAAGTCACCATCACTATATTCCCTGCATTACCCATACTTATACAGAGATACTACTAGACAGATACTATGGACTACATGAGGTATCATAAATCCTTACGGATAACTCCCTGTTTGGTGTCTAATCAGTTTTACTGCCTAACTCTATATCTCCTAGTTAGTACATTCATGACTAAAGTCTAGGCCTGCAACTTGTTATATCTTCTGCAGATTATGGAGATGCTAGTGTTTTACAATATACAACTATGTTCATATGCTATGCGACTATTAATATCAGATATTCCTATATGTTAGTAGAGTACAAGTTATGTTTTGCAACAAAGTTGCTTCCAACTAGGTTCATAATATATAGTACTACTTCTAACTTGTGTCTGCATTAACTGGTATTTAATGTTAATATGCCCTTGTACTCAGATGTGCAATTGTATTACTAGCTTGATGCTTCCTGCCAATTCAGGTTTTTACACATATCCTAGATAGTAGCCAACTCTCTATAGAACTGAGACCTTCCAATTCTAGCTTTTACATGTACTAGAAATGTTCCACATCTAGTTAGGACAATCCTTTTCCATAGATTTCTATTATATTCACTATTTTGCTCATTACTCCAGCTCATATCACCTTTATGTCACCCTCCCAAGCAAGTTCCTAACCACTGAGGATGTTGGTGCTACCTAACCCTTCAAGAACTTATTCATACAACACTCATATAATGAAACCTTCTATGACACCAACTGTCACACATAATGCTAACTTGCTCTATAATATCGATCTCCTTTTAGGAATTCCTTTTCTAGAATCTTGTACTTCACATAAGTTTTACTACAGAGCTTCGCATTCGATTAATAGTTTTCATAAAAATTACAGAAGCAAATACCTCCAACTAGACTCGAACCGTTGACCTTGTCTGTAGAGAGTTGAAGACTTAACCAACTAAGTCATAGGACCTAACTCACCTAGATCAGATATTACCTAAGTTATCTATAGATAATTAGATATCTGAGTAGTAATTATGGCTACTCAGGTAGATATAACTAGATAATACCCAGAAGTAATTACTAAATTACAACAAAATGCTGTAAATATATTTTGTATTCATAAATATAGTACATATAGTTGATTCTAGTGATCTAATTGATTGATAAAATTTATCTGAAGTGATCAGCAGAGAGAGTTTTTATTAGAACTAGATAAGGACATTAGTATAATAATTCTAAGTTCTTGTATTCTTCTATTACTATTAATTCATAATCTGCTTCTAAATCAGTAAAAATTATTAGTATTATATGGGTAAAATTTTGTAGATCATTAAAGAAAAATCTAGCAGATAGTAGTTTTTAGGTATAATATAATACCATCAAAAAAAAGTTTATTTGTATCAAATATATAACAAACTGTATTATAAAAAACTTCAAAAATATACTGTTTAGTCCTTTTGTTTAGTTAATAAAAAAAAAAAAGCTATTTGCTAACAACACCAGATTTCAGAATAAAAACTAATTTGCGATTTCACTATTTTGTATATTTTTATTATGATATTAGCACTAGAGATATTATGATCTACTTTTTTGATCTTATTTTCTAATTGAAAACTAATTTTTAAAAAAAGAAATAAAATCAAAAGACAGGTTATAATGTCTCTAAAGTATGTAAATTCCTTTTTTATAAGCAAGAATATATAAAACTTTATTACTAAAGAATCTTGTATTACAATTTATACTATGTTAGAATTTCAAATTATACTTGTTTGAGCTGCATACTCACATATTGACGAGTATAATAGCCTATTCAACTTTGAATAGTAGATACTTTTGAAACAGTTTCAGCCTCAATGTTACTCTCAAGCACCTTTTGTTGAAGAGCTTGATACATATCTTGTATGGTATAATGATCACTTTGGTTTGTATTACTAGCTAGAAAATATCTCTCTAAAATTTTTCTTACCTTTTTTGCAATTCTTTTTCTAGCTCTCTTTTTTCCATATTTTTTTTTTTTTTTTTTTTTGTTATTAAGGTGGCTTACATTGCCGAGCGAATTTTATTAGTTTGATATATGAGGTC